GGACCTCTGCGACCAATTCAGTTCACCATGGGTTTTTTTCTTGGGGCCAAGGAAAACCTGCTCAAAGTTTTATTATAGAAATCTACTATAATTATTTTATTCTTTTTAAAAAATATTCTTAAAATTAATTTTTTCACAAAAGATTGCATTGTCATCAGTTTCTAGGCTATCCTGAAAGTTTCAGCTTGCTAGCTAGTCTGGAAGTGAGTGAAATTTGAGTTTCAAAATTTGATCCAGACAAACAGACAGACAGACAAGAAAGTGAGTTCATAAAAACGTGGTAAAAAGTACTGTAACAAGAAGTAAGATACAGTATGAGGACCTTTGTCTAGTTACTTCAATAGTCTAGTTTCTGGTACCTGGTATGTCCTCTTTCTATTCAAGTTCATTTTTGTATATGTTTTCCCCTAATTTTCAGACGTATGGAAGCACTGAAATGATGCTGACTGTTTCGTCTTCCACGTTGATGTGCTCAGAACAGGAGGCAGGATTGGGTGTTTTGTCTCCACGAACCAAGTGTAAAGTCAGTATTTATTCGTTCATTTCACTCAAAAAAATGGGATTGTCGTCGCGACATTATTTATGCATTTGCAGTTTGGATGCCTGGATTTTTAACCATTTATCGTATTTAAACTATTTTTGAAAGGTCGTTTCAATTGTTGATGGCAAGAGTTTGGGTCCATACGATTGCGGGGAATTCTGGATACACACACCTTTCCTGATGAAGAATTATCGCAACCGCCCTGATGTGAGTTTTGCATGTTTTAAACTTGACTAGATTTTCTCCAGAAAGATTAAATTGTTCGTCTTTTGGACAATCAAGTATGGAGAAGAAAAACAGACACGGTCGATCTGAAATTGTTTTCAACCCCGATTCGGGGATTTTAAACTTGAATTATAATTTATGGCACAACATTTCATGAATCCCTTTTTCTGTCTGTTAATTAGACGCTTTTCTATCATTTCGAATCCCTTCAACGGTTAATGCCTCAATAATTGCAGCTGACTTCAGCGGCAGTCACTCCAGACGGTTGGTATAAAACAGGAGATTATGGCTACTATGATGATCAAGAACGCTTTCACATTAAGGACAGGGTCAAGGACTTGATTTTGCTGCCGGATGGAAAAACATTGGTTGGTAAATTCACGAAATTTTGAGAACTACGAGGATTTTTTAAATCGTTTTTATGTCTTGCGTATAATTGACTCCTAGGTGTCGCCTTCTACCATTGAGAACTTAGTGTTGCAACATGAGGCTGTGTTTCAAGTCGGCGTGTCCGGAATCCCTTCTACCTCTGGAACTGGAAATGTTCCTCGTGCTTTTGTTATTTTGAAGCAGCATGTTCAAGACTTGGTACCGGACGATATTGTGAAATTTGTTGAAGGTTAGTTGGAAGATTTGAATATGTTGTGCGCTCTGAACTCCAGTCATTTTTGGACCGAAATATTTCGTAGAATACAGTACTACTACCGATCAAAACTATTTCTTCAGGATACATAGACCGGCATTGACTGATTTCCACTACGTTTAAAAAATTTGTCCAAACCTAATCTGTATCTCTTTATATGATTTCCTGTCATATTCACGT